TGGCCTTAGACTTAGTCAGCACACGCATTGTGACCGTTGTCGTAGCAGCTACATTCTCCGTGCTGGTTCGCACGCTGGGTTCGCCAACATCGCCTACAGAGTTATTGAGGCGCTGTTCGCGGAGGCGGCGCAGCGCGGAGATGCGTTCTTCGGCGCTGGCATTGGGGCGTTGGCGCAGAGACAAAATGTCGCGGAAGGCGCTGCGGCGGCGGTGCGAGGATTCTGCTTCGAGGGGCTGTGGCGGATCCGAGAGGTCGGATGGGGGGATTGAGTTGTCGTTAGAGGCTACGGGGTGGAGATCTACACGGCTGTTTTTGGTGGGTCAGTCGATCGGGGGGGAGAGAGAGGAGAGAAGAGAGGGGTTTGGGTGGCGCATAGTAGGGGAGGTGGCTTACCAGAGGGGACATGTGCCTGAGACATTGAGGAGCCAGGGGTCGACGCAGTCGGGGTGAAATTTGTGGTTGCAGGGCAGAACGCGGAGATCCTGGCCCTTTTCAAAGTCTTCGGTGCAGATGGAGCAGCCGAGGTTTGCATCGTGGGACGTGCCATCTGTACCGTTTGCTGCGGCTGCGATGCCTTCCTGGTCGTCTTCTGCCTGTGGTTGGGTAGCATTTCGTGAGCTTTCAATCTCATCCGTGGTTGGCTTGGTTGTCGCATTTGTTGTTGCTGTTCCCACGGCTACTGGGGAAACATGCTGCATCTCCGTTTCCACATTGGCTGCTGCAACCTCTCTTGTCTCTGTCGACGGCCCCAGCTCGACATCTGTTGGCTTTAGAGGCTCCTTCTCGCCAAACTTGACAATCGGAATCGTGTCCAACATGGCTCTTGCCAGCCCCCGTGCCCTACTCTGTCGGGGTCGGCCCAAAACGTTTCTGGGTCCATATCTTTCGGGGTGGCGGTGCGCGCGGACAGCGCCCGTGATGATGATGACGAGGAACAGTGCCGTGATGATGCCCGTGATACTATACAGGATAATCATAGCGACCGCCGTCGACGGCGAAGGACCCAGCGGATTTTGCCCTGACTGTTGATCGTTGTTGCTATTATCATTGCTCCGACCCTGCACCCGCACAAAAAACTTCATGGAGATTGGCAGGTTGGCGACGGCATCGAGCACTCTAGCGGAGTCCTGTTTGTTCACCATGGAGAAGATGGGGAGTGTGCGCATGATGTCCTGTGAGGTCTCCTGCACGTAATCGCAGTAGTCGGTCGCAGTGCTGTACAAAATGACGCCCGAGATGTTCGCATTCTGATATGCCTCTGTGAACACGCGCTGGGCGTCTACGAGGCCGTTGTAGTCGTCTGGGTTGCAGCTAATGTATGCAATTTCGTTGTTCGCAATGTTTGCGACATTGGAGAAGTTGGTGTTGTACAAGTTGCCCTCGATCTGTCCTCGTATTAGCGCTCGAGTGACGGTTACAATGAGCTCGGAGTACTGAGACATACGGTGTGCCTTGCCGCTTCCCGGGTCAGTGGGATGAGTTGCGCAATCTGCGTGGAATCGCCCTCGGCATGATGCAACGGCAGCGTGCCCGGAAAGCGATCGCTCACAGTCGAAGTGTTGGAGGGTACGATCATGGCGGAGCCGGCGGCGGCGAAGAGCAGGCAGGTCCACCACTGCCACTGCATCGTCACCGTCATCGCCATCATCATCATCATCATCATCATCATCATTCGAGAGAGGGCCACGTCGAACAATGCGCGGGAATGCACAAGGTTGCGGAAGGAGCCAAAAGCTCGCCAGCAACAGAGCGCAAAACTACACCCCAGTCTTTATCGATGGCTAAGCACACTTGTGGAGGGCAGGAATATGCACTTTCGAGAAGCGGGGGGAGCAAGTGTGGCTTTCAGCTGGGCGCGTCCAAGACACCAAGCACCACTGAGCATGGGATCTGGAGATGCTCGAATAGGGTGAGATCTACGACCGGTGGAACAGTCTATCGTCTACGTAAATCGCGAAAAGTGTTTGCAGCCTTTCCCAAAGCGCCAAAAAGTAAGGGAAAAAGAGGGAACGCGGAGGGTGGTGACAAGGCTATGGAGTCAAGAAAGAAAGAAAGAGAGAGGGAGAGAGAGAGAGAGAGAGAGAGAGAGAGAGAGTAGGTGCTGCGTGGTAGGAGGTCATGGCAGGCGCACACGATCGGACGGCGGAATTCATCATCGATTGACGTCGTTTCAATCAATCTGCTCACTGCTCACTGCTCACCCGCACAACTCCGAAGCCATGCCGGGCTGCGAATACTCCATGCAAGGCTATCACAACCTGTCGCAGTCTGTGACGCTGTGGTACACTGCCCACTCCATTCAATCCAGGTTTTGAATGCTGAAACCCCGGCGCGGCCAGTGTACTGCTGCACTGTACTACTACGCCCCCCCTCCGATGCCCTCGATGCCCGATTACCAACCGATGGGAGTTGAGATGTACTCTGGGGCAAGAGCGGCAGCTACAGTAGTAGTACTACTGCTCTACGATTGTCATTTCCGTGGTATGTGTTCGACATCATACCTGCCATCCGTCCATGCGCCACTTTGATCCTCGCAACTCCTTCTGCGGCGGTATGAGTAAGCCTTAGTACGGCAAGGCACATTGCCATGTCTTCAAGGTGTGCGCTCCAAAGACTACCCATTCTCAGACCGCATTGGATCCTCGGTCGTGCGTGCGTTTGAGGCGTACAGAAATGGTGGCTTACAATGGAAACCCCCACCGCAAGGAACGCGCGTGCACAGCCCGCAGTTACCCCGCGTTCAATCAGAGAGAGCCGGTAACCGGTACCCACCCCATCATCTGGCCGAGAGGAAAGGCATGGTCACGTGGATGCATCATGACATGTACCATGGATGCCGCCAACCTATTCGTCTGTATTAAATAAAATAGAGACTCGACAAAAGTAGAAGCCCAACGCCACTGGTATGCGCCTTTTATATGCCACGCTTGGAAGCAAAACGTTCCCCATGATTATGACTCTGCCATTCAACAGACCAACCCAATTCCTGCGCAGTGGAGGGTGGCCTACTCAATAGGCCACACCGCTGCGCCCCCTACCAGCTGTCTTGAAAGTCATCGACTGCACCTCCTGCTTAATCAGCCCGCCCAACGCTAATGTATCGTTGGGATCAACGCCCATGCGCTCATAGTCGTTGAAGCCAGATAGGTAGAATCCAGCAATCACGACCAAGTAAGAAAGTATTAAGATCGAGCCCTTGAAGTAGTTACTCTTTCCCTCTCCATACATGTACGACAGAAGAAAGACGCAAAGGATGACGGTGACCATATCCCACTGAGGGAAGATCAACGTAAAGGTCTGATGTGCCACTTCCTTCGCCGGAATAGAAGAGGCATGGATTGCGCTGTAGAAGACCAACGCTGGGATCTGCAGCAAACACACCTGTAACGCATATGCAGACCCGATTTCCATGGACAGTGCAATGTTCCCGTTCATGGCAAATGAGATGGCGTTGAGAAACTCCGTAGTGTTCGGGACCAGAGCAAATAGCGTGATTCCAAGGAACTTCTCATCAATGTCTGAACCCACCAGGACTGCATCCACTGTATTGACCAGGATTTCGGCAATAATGGCATAAGCGAGAGTAGCAGTAAGAAGAATCGCAGCACTCTTGCCCCGGCTCCAATTCGGCGCATCGTGGCCACCTGCGGCATGACCGCCACCTGCATCGTGTTCTTCTGGTACCTCGGTTGTTGTCGTTCGAGGGTTGGCTGGACGTTCGTGGTGTGCTCTACTTGAGGTGTTGGCTAACTGAGCAGCTTTACGTGGTGCCCGAGTGACATCGCGAGTGGCCAGAGCAGTGGTAGTAGCTGCAATCTCCGTGATATGGCGTGCTAGAGACTGTGCTGCATCGTCCGTGAGCCCTTCGACATGGAAAGAGTGATTGGATTGGGCGTCGCTGTCTTTTGGCGGTACAAGATGTGGAGTCTGGCCATCTGATTTTGAATTGGGCCGTGTATCCCCTGAGGTCGTTCCGTGTGTCCCGAGGCCAACTTCTTGCAACGTTTGACCGACAATGCGTTTATACAGTTGGCTGTCCCGTATATGGCTGCGATTGACGGATGAATTGGTTCCTTGCCTAGTGAACGAAGAGTGTGGAAATTCAACATGTCCACTATGGCTAAGACTGCTTGCGCTCATGTCCAACAGTTTCTTTTCCTTCTCATCTGGCTCGCTAGTCCATATGGTTGCAGCATGTGTTCGAAGTGTGAAAAGTAGACCGATGATGTAGGACACAAAAAGCAGCGTTGCCGCAAACCATGTGTATGGCTTTACAGCCTCGTTATAAAAACGATCGTTCAACGCAGGAACCTGTGAGTAGTAGCATCTTCGACAGTCTCGGTCGGAAGGCAAGTCGCTATGTCTGTGGACACATTGATGGCAATTGAGTTCATGCTACCCACTATTAGCAAGGCAATGTAAATGAGGGCTTTAGCATACTTACGCTTCCGTAGATCTGGTAGAACAGCGTCGGTCCGAACGCACCAATGACAGCAAACAGAAGCATGGTCGATGTCACACCGGCCGATCTTACGTTGAACCGCTGCGTCTTTCGCTTCAAAGCACCAAAGCACATGGACAAACCTGGTAAGAAGAGGATACCAGCAAAGATGCTGCCAATAATGCTGCCCTCAACGAGCTGCGCTTTGCCCTGTTTAAGTGCCACACAATACAAGAAGACCTCGACGACTGTTGAGAAGAAGGCATTGATGGTTGCACCAACGCCCATGGACGATTGGGCAGAAATAGACGCAACGGCTTGACCAATGAAGTATGCCAAAGGTATAATGGACAGTAATGCAAGTACGAAGAGGAAGAACTGGTCTGTAAGCCAAATCTTCAGTTCCATGCCCTCAGCCAGCACAAAGTAGTCGAAGATTGTGAATGCCACAAGGCCTAGAAGGTTGATGAGGAAGATGTTCGTCCCGTCGATTGTGTACTTCCAATACTTGAGACCAACTGCACGATAAGTGCAGAGTAATATAGAGGAAGACTCGCCCGGGCGGCGTACATTGCCATTGTCAGAATGGAATGATAAGGCCAGAGGATGACGCCGCAGATGGTCGAAAAGCAGCAGAGTTACTTTGCCCATGGGTATCGTGAAAACGAGGAACCAACAGAGTGCGGAGACGAGGAACAGGGCCGGGGTGAGAATGCCATAAAAGAATAGGAAGAATACAACTCGGCCAAGATTCCATTTTCCACGACCAAATAGCCTCCTCTTCGTCCTAGCGGTGTCTGTGTGGTTGATGTTGGCCCGCCCGTCTCTGCCCAGGAGACTCGTCGTCTCACCGCCGCTAGAATCCACACTGTTACGTCGTCGGCCGACCAGGGAGTTTTGGCCTGTGGTCGGGCCAAAGAAGAGTCGCCCTTCCTCAATGTCGCCGCTTTGCCATTGCTCATACTCGCTGATGCTGCGACCCTCACCTTCGTCTTCCTCCACGTAGGCATCGTCTTGCAGGAGCTTGACATACTTTCCAAACGGATAGAAAAGATAAGCAGCAAGATGGAAGAGCAGACGCGCATATTCGCGACAGCTGCTGGAAAAGCGAAGAAGAGCGCAGAGCAGGCCACCGGCAACCGCAATAAGAGCTAACCACCAGCCAAAAACCAGTGTCCAGACGACGTTGAAGACAAACAGCCATTTGCTGACAAAGAGACCAGGAGACGAGTGGATGTCTGCTTCAGCGTTGCGCTGCACTGATCGGCCTTTTTTGTATAACGCAGGTTTCCAGATCCTGATACCGAAAGGATGTGTCACGTTGATGGCATCCTGGCGATCGCGCAGTGTAAAACTCTCTGTGTCACTGATTTCGGCGTCGTCATCGTCGTCATTCTCCCCGACGCCGCTATCGTCGTCGTCGTCGTCTGCACGCACCGTATCTTCTCCAGACGATGTGGGTATTGCTTCTACATCGGCTCCCGCCCCTGATGGGGCTCCCGTTCGGTCCTGTTGTGTTTCATCAGACTCGGACGACTCGATGGTGATCAGCGTAGCCGGTGCACCTGTCTTGCGGCGAACGGTCGATGGCTTGCGGCGCAGAGGGTGTGCGATGCGCTGCTGCTTTAGGTGCTGTTCGAGTTCGGCTAGTTCGCGCTGGACCTCGTCTTCGGCATCGTCCACACTGAACTCTTGGCCCTTGTGGGGGAATTTGGAGGAAGTGGCACGGCGGTTCATGGGCGGTTTCTTGGGTTTGGTAGAACTTGAGCCCTGGTCAGATGATGCGGGGGGATTCTGCTGTCGACGGTCGATGCCAGAGGTGATGGAGCCTGTCGGTTTGTCAGTCTCCCACCCCGCTGGGGGTTTGCGCCATGAATGTGCTTGTCAAGCCAGCTGGCAATGGCCAGGTCAGTACGTACCGTAGGTGGTTGGCGGCGCGACACCTTGGGCCCGCCAGCGCGCCGGCTCTGTTCCTGCTGGTGTGGGCGTCTCCGAGCCATGGGCGCTGCTCGGTCGCGAGCTCTCCAGTCGCGAGTTCGCTTTGCCTGCCATGGGCGTGCGATCGTCCATGATGGTGGGCGGCGACGTGATGTTGTGCAAAGGAATGGTTTGGGGGGCCCGGGCGGTTTGCGTTGAGCGGTCACAGCTCTCAGGTCAGTCTGCAAAGTCCGGGGCTCTGCCTGAGTACTTATCTGCTCCAGTTGAATCCTGGTTGCCGAGCAGTGGCAGCGAGGGTGGGACCGGAAGGCATCACAGAAATATCGTTTCTATCTAGAATGGTGTGGAAGGAGTGCTCTAGCAAGGCAAGCAGATGACCTCTTAGATGTCGGCGATCAGCCATACATCACATCACAAGCTGCTGCACCTTCGGACGTATTGCGGAGCCCAGTCTCACTGTTCATGTGCGACCAGATGGCGTCACAAGTCCACCACAAGCTGTGCGTTGCGAGGCGAAGGAGCAGGTTCACCGTTTCTGTGCGTAGCCAGACCACAGGCTCAGTCTTATTTATGGTGCGCACATGCACGCATTGACGGCCAGTCGAGGGAGTCTTGGAATGTTCACGGATGCGGGCTTGGCTCCACAGGGAAGCTTCATAGTAGGCCCATACAAATACAAGGTTAGGGACGCCTGGTGGGGCTCTTTTCCGTCCTCTAGCATTGTAGAGTTAGAGTCCACCAGCAGGGCTTCCCCCATCAAGCGGCTGTAGCGGTTGCGATGAACTTTGGAGACAATACCTACTACTATATGTAGTACTGTCCGTGTACGTCGCGCTCTTCGCGGTGCATGCAATACCATTCTGTTCCTGCGCTGCTTGTACACATGCCCATTGTAGACACCAATAGGCCAAAGTGATTCTGTCTCTGTGTCTGTGCCTGTGTGTATACCATTGCGGTGCCTGTAGGTATACCATTGCGGTGCCTGTAGGTATACCATTGCGGTGCCTGTAGGTATACCATTGCGGTGCCTGTAGGTATACCATTGCGGTGCCTGTAGGTATACCATTGCGGTGCCTGTAGGTATACCATTGCGGTGCCTGTAGGTATACCATTGCGGTGCCTGTAGGTATACCATTGCGGTGCCTATGCCTACAGGAAGAAACACATACCATAGCTAGCCACATTGATCACGTGTATTACACCAATCATGTGACGCCCAGCCCCGGTCCCGACAGCCCGCTCCGGTCAAACGTTGCTCCGGCTAGGGCGCAAAGGTCTCGGGAGCTTCCAGTGATGCAACTGTCAATACAGACGGTGGTCAACGGCCTACACAGCACAGCACAACACTCGCTCACCTCCATCGCCTGCCAAAAGGCCGCGCGTCTTGCTCTCTCTCTCTGCCCAAATCCAACTCAAACAAATTCATCAGAAGCTCGAAACAGCTTCCCATCTGATCGCCACCCTTCTCTCCCACGACAGCACCACCCACCGCCTTAGGCGCCCGCCATAGCCATGGCGCTCGATACCTTCTTCCACAACAAGATCGAGTCTATGAAGTTGGAGATAATACAAGGACAAGCCAAACTACGACGACTGGAAGCCCAGCGAAATGACTACAACTCGAGAGTGCGTCTGCTGCGAGAGGAGCTTGGCCTATTGCAACAGCCCGGATCCTACGTTGGCGAAGTAGTAAAGGTCATGGGCACGAAAAAGGTGTTGGTCAAGGTGCATCCCGAGGGGAAATACGGTACGTTTGGCGCAAAATCTGTGCTCCATGGGCTTCCACTGACAGGCGAATCACAGTCGTCGACGTCGCCGACGGTGTCGATCTCAGCAAACTCACCGCTGGAAAGCGCGTCACATTGCTTAGTGATTCCTACAAGCTCGAGAAACTCCTACCATCCTCGGTCGATCCGCTTGTCTCACTCATGATGGTCGAGAAGGTGCCCGACAGCACATATGACATGATTGGTGGGCTGGACCAGCAGATCAAGGAAATCAAGGAAGTCATTGAGCTCGGTCTACAGCACCCCGAACTCTTCGAATCGCTTGGGATAGCACAGCCCAAGGGTGTATTGTTGTATGGACCTCCAGGAACGGGCAAGACGCTCTTGGCGCGTGCTGTGGCTCACCACGCCGACTGTAAATTCATCCGTGTATCAGGAAGCGAGTTGGTTCAAAAGTACATTGGGGAGGGTAGTCGGATGGTCCGTGAGCTCTTCATCATGGCGCGAGAACACGCACCCAGCATCATCTTCATGGATGAGATTGACAGTATCGGATCAAGTCGTGTGGAAGGAAGCTCGGGTGGTGACTCCGAGGTTCAGCGAACTATGTTGGAGCTGCTGAACCAGTTGGACGGTTTTGAGCCCACCAAGAATATTAAAATCATCATGGCCACGAATCGTCTTGACATCCTCGACCCTGCGCTGCTGCGACCTGGACGTATCGACCGAAAGATTGAATTTCCACCGCCAACGGTTGAGGCGCGTGCCGACATTCTGCGCATTCACTCAAGAAGTATGAACTTGACTCGTGGTATCAACCTTGTCAAAATTGCGGAAAAGATGAACGGATGCTCAGGTGCTGAGTTGAAGGGTGTCTGTACAGAGGCTGGTATGTTTGCGCTCAGGGAAAGAAGAGTACATGTCACGCAAGAGGACTTCGACCTTGCAACGGCCAAGGTGCTGAACAAGCACGACGACAAGGCTACCAGTTTGAGCAAGCTGTGGAAGTAGGCGATCATATATGGGCGTCTTTCAGCAGTCTTTTGCTTACGACCCTGACGATGGTAATGAGAATGGTGTACCGGGATGCTGGTATAGCAGCATAGACTTGTTGATACAGTCGATCGAGTCGAAATCATAGTCTCAGACATTAGCTCTCGACGTGCTTATGCCTCGAGACTCCCAGATATTGACGCCGTATTTGCACGTGAGAGTACGTCACGTTCAGTGCACATCGAATGTACACTACAAACACTTATCTTGAGTCACACCAACGACTGTGAATGCCCTCCATTTATTGTGCAAGCTAACCAGCCACCATGACGTTCTCGTGCAGCTCAACGCTCGCACAGCGCGTTGCTTCGGCGACCATGGTCGGTCGTAACGCCAATCGTCGTATCGCGAGTTGCGTGAGCGGGACCTCTGATAGCGTGATAGTTATTATTTGCTTATTTCCCTTGGGCTAGACTAAAACGGAAGTTCAAACACGTATTATACCCCCATCTTGACCCCGGATTTTGCTGGTCGCTCGCTTTAGCGCTACCGCGCCGCTACCAGTCCAAGTCTCCATATGCGACCACTATTGTGGATTCAATGACGGCTAACTTACAGATATAAGAAAATTATCATCGCTACTCAATTTTAGCTACCTACAATCTCGACTGCACTCAGGAAGTGCCCCTCAACGCCATAATGTTCACCAGCAAGACTGAAGGAGACAACAAGGAAATGACGCAAGAAGTACCCTCTGTGCTTGACGCGCCTGTTAGTGTACTGGAAGATGGGTCGCTCGACCCAGTGTACGAAGGCAAAGCGAAAGTTCTGAATAAGGCTATCCAAGACATCGGCATGGGAAAATATCAGTGGCAGGTACGCAGCATACATGCAGCATTCTGACATTATCAAGTGTCAATCAGAGTGTTTAGCAAGTGCCGAGTAGTTATCGGTGCTAGCTAACGCATACACAGTTGTTTATCGTGATCGGTTTCGGCTGGTCCATGGTGAGTTCAAGGATGAAACAAAGTACATCAAGGATATAAACTGATTCTGCGCCCCAAATCGTAGGATAATCTATGGCCCATCGTAACTTCCTTGATCTTCACCCCGATTAGAAACGAATTCAATCCGACACGAGCACCGTTCCTGACATTGGCGCAAAATATCGGCCTCCTCTTTGGCGCTGTCTTTTGGGGCTTCGGCTGTGACATTTTCGGTCGTCGATGGGCTTTCAATCTGACTATCGGCATCACGGCTATCTTTGGGATGGCTGCAGCAGGCAGTCCGAACTTTGCTGCCATTGGGATTTTCGCTGCACTGTGGTCAGTTGGCGTGGTGAGTTTTCAGAAACCGAGTGGCTAGAGGACTGTCTAATTGTTCAAAGGGCGGTAATCTACCTGTCGATTCAGCAATCTTCCTCGAATTCCTGCCCGGTACTCATCAGTATCTTCTCACAATTCTATCAATCTTCTGGTCGCTCGCGCAGGTCTTTGCGACATTGGTAGCATGGCCATTGCTAGGGAACATGTCGTGTCAGCAGATCGATACTGAGTGTACGAAGAGCAAGAACATGGGATGGAGATACTTCATGATTGTCAGTAGCGCCCAACCCTTTGAACTAAGCAAGAGAATCACTAATAAAGAACCTCCAGGTTATGGGTGGCGTGGCTCTAATCATGTTTTTCTTCCGATTCGTCCTTTTCACTCTTTACGAATCTCCCAAATTCCTCATGGGCAAAGGAAAAGACGAGGAAGCTGTCCGTGTGGTCCACGAAGTAGCTCGTCGTAATGGCAGAACCACAACCTTATCCCTCGAAGACCTCAAAGTCTGCGAATCCCTTGCCCTCCCTGGCTCAAGCACCAGCCAGCAAGTCACCGCTACGGCAACTGTCAAGCGCAAGCTGCAAAAGCTGAACACTTCCCACGTCAAAGCACTGTTTGCCACCAAAAAGCTCGCATTCTCTACTAGCATCATTACTGTGGTTTGGGCATTCATAGGTCTAGGATTTCCGCTCTACAACGCCTTCCTCCCATTCATCCAAGCCACACGCGGAGCCTCCTTCGGCGAATCAAGCACGTACCTGACCTACCGCAACACGCTCATCATTGCAGTCCTCGGTGTCCCCGGATGTTTACTCGGCGGCCTTCTTGTTGAGACGCCCCGTGTTGGCCGTAAAGGCACACTCGCGGGCTCCACCATCCTTACCGGCGTCTTCCTCTTTGGCTCCACGACAGCACTGAATTCCAATAGCCTACTAGGCTGGAATTGCGCATACAACTTCATGTCAAACATTATGTATGCGGTTCTGTACGCGTACACGCCTGAGACATTTGTCACAAAAGACAGGGGAACAGGCAATGCGATTACGGCGTCTGCAAACAGGATCTTTGGGATCATGGCACCGATTGTCGCCATGTTTGCGAACTTGGAGACGAGTGCGCCGGTTTATGTTAGTGGAGCGTTGTTCATTGCTGCGGGATTGCTCGTGCTGATTCTGCCGTTTGAGAGTCGGGGAAAGGCGAGTATGTAGGTTGTGATGGAGCATTAGGGGAGTGGCTGCATAAATTAGAGGAAGGCAGGCGGCATGATGAGGTATTTTGCGCGACGATTGAAATGTTGCTGGGCGTTAGTTGCATATCCATGATAGATAAGAGGCTCTGATTAAGTAATAATATCATAACATTCTAGAGATGTTCTGTCTAAATTACTTCGAAGAGTGAAATCCACCCTGTCTGAAAAATGAAATCTAGAAAAGAAAGTGATGCGGACCCTTGAACTCTCGGCAAGCGATCGTAGTCTCGCATAAAGATTATGAAGATATATCTAATGGATTCAGTAAAATAAATACATACGACCATAGGACACTGAAAACTAGGCTTCCCGTCCGCTCAGCCATATATAAGCAGTGTACCGGCGGATTAGTAGTTAGGTGGGTGACCACTAGCGAATCCCCGCTGTTGTATGTTTTTTGTTTTTTGCCTGGTGTGCACATTTTGTTGTTTTGGTGACTGAGAGGGAACGCGCTGCCTGTGCAGGTTCAGGTTGTTGGGCGGTTTGTCACCTCTCAAGCAAGCCTTCTGCCTCGCCTACCTCACTCTCAACCAACCTTCTTAACCTCGCCTACCTCACTCTCAACCAACCTTCTTAACCTCGCCTACCTCACTCTCAACCAACCTTCTTAACCTCGCCTACCTCACTCTCAACCAACCTTCTTAACCTCGCCTACCTCACTCTCAACCAACCTTCTTAACCTCGCCTACCTCACTCTCAACCAACCTTCTTAACCTCGCCTACCTCACTCTCAACCAACCTTCTTAACCTCGCCTACCTCACTCTCAACCAACCTTCTTAACCTCGCCTACCTCACTCTCAACCAACCTTCTTAACCTCGCCTACCTCACTCTCAACCAACCTTCTTAACCTCGCCTACCTCACTCTCAACCAACCTTCTTAACCTCGCCTACCTCACTCTCAACCAACCTTCTTAACCTCGCCTACCTCACTCTCGCCTCTTATCTACTCGCTCCTCGAGAGCT